ATCGTTTCGTGCCTGTGCTTTAACCACGATAAATTTAACTGCCAAAATTATGTGTCCTTGATTGTAATGTCGGAAAAAAAGTAAGTACTCCCATTTTAACAACTTCCCGTTAACACGATTTTCTAAAAACTGAGTAAACTCGGGATGATTCACTGTGACACACGGAACGGTATACGCTTCTATCATTTTAACTGGGTCGGAATTAAATGTCTTCTGTCTTTCACCATGAACAGTTGCAGAGCTTTATGTGTATCCAGCAATACATGCTTTATGTGTATCCAATGATCACGTGTTTTAATTCGCCACGTCAGTATTACATCTCAAATTTTACATTGGAGTTGAGGAACATCGAATTTTAGCTCTGGCAAATTTCTTATCCAATATTTTAACACGATTTTGTAAAAAGTGAGTAAACTCGAAATGATTCCATGTCCCCGAGCGTTGGGCGCCGCCCCCCCCCCCTCCCCCCGGGGGGGGGGAAGCGCGCCTGTCCAGAAAAGTTTTAGCTTCAAATTTTATCCAGTTTTTACACGTTTGTAAAACCTGAGTAAACCGGGATGATTCACCATGTCCCGTGGAACGTTATACGCTACTACCATTTGAACTTGGTCGGAATTAAATGCCTTCTGGTTTTTGTCATGAGCAGTTGCAGAGCCAGCATTACATGCTTTATGTGTATCCAACGACACGTGTTTTAATTCGCCACATCGTATTACACTACAAATTTTATAACGGAGTGGAAGACCATTGAATTTTAGCTCTGGCAAATCTGTCATCCAATCTTCTAACACGATTTTGTAAGAACTGAGTAAACTCGGGATGATTCACTGCGTCCCCGGAACTTTATACGCTACTACCATTTTAACTAAGTCGGATTTATCGATTTCTGTCTTCATGAGCAGTTGCAGAGCCAGCATTACATGTTTTATGTATATCTGACTACAAACAATGCGTGTTTTCATTCACCATGACAGTATTACGTCTCAAATTTTGCAATGGAGTTGAAGACTGGCGAATTCTAGCTCTGGCAAATCTCTTATCCATCTTTCAACAGTATCCCGCGACGGAACTAAAGACAATAAAAAAAAGCGTCGGTTACATATTGACAGTGGAACCTCCACAAAAAAAGTTGTCATTCTCGTTCTTATAATCCACTAAAAAAAAAAAGCAATACATCGCTTTCATCCTTTCCAATGACACGTCGACTCCTTCTTTGTAGGTCGAACCAGACGGTGCGCCCCAGCGTGCTGGACCTCGAGGCCGACCTCCACAAGACGGTCATCGACGCCGCCGAGAACATGAACCCCTGGAACATATTCCTGGAGCTGCTGCCGCCCGACTCTGGCCAGACGGCGCTGCCCACCTTCGACAAGGAGACCGACGTGCTGCTCTTCTTCAAAATGTACGACCCCAAGCAGAAGAAGATCCACTACTGCGGCCACAGCTACTTGCCCGTGACCAGCAAGCTGAGCGACATCATACCGTTGCTGAACGAGCGCGCCGGCTTCCCCCGACACGGAGCTGCTGCTGTACGAGGAGATCAGGCCGAACATGATCGAGAAGATCACCAACTTCAACGATCCGCTGGAGAAGGTCAGTCTCTTTTTTTTGCAACAACCTGCAACCTTAGCCCCAACAACCGTAGCCTTAGAAGATACAGTGGAGTTAAAGAAAAATATTTTTCTTCCAGGTATTAGAAGAACTGATGGACGGTGATATTATAGTGTTCGAAAAGGAGGAACGGGGAAGAACTGTCCGACCTGCCCACCTGTATAGACTATTTCAAAGATCTATTTTACCGCGTAGAAGTGACGTTCGTTGACAAATGCATACCAAATGACCAGGGCTTCACAATGGAGCTCTCGCAGAGGATGACGTACGATCAGTTCGCCAGGGCGGTCGCACAGCGCGTCGGCACGGATCCGTACCTCCTACAGTTCTTCAAATGTCAGAGGTAAGAGTATTGCCGCCTTTTCCTCAATGAAAGTTCTGTACTTCCCCACCCCGAACAGTTTTATTGCTCCTCCCCCCTTAGACACGCTCCTATCCTTTAAAACCCGGCCCCTCTTACAACCACGCCCATATCCCTCCAAGCCACACCTCTATCCCCCGAAACCACGCCCATCTCTCTCAAGTAACGCCCATCTACCTCAAAGCCACGCCCATCTCCCTCAGAGTCTTTCTAGAGCTGCCATTTGTTATTCGCAATATCCGACAGCCTGCCATGAGCGGAAACTCTAGTTTGACCCTTGAAATTCGATTGTAGACTGAGCAAACGGTGGACCGAACGTTCTTTTTTTTTCTCTCTTCCAGTTACAAAGACAGCCCCGGTCATCCGCTGCGATGCACCTTCGAGGGCACCCTAAAAGACTTGTTAGTTTTCTCAAAGCCAAAAGTTCCCAAAAAGATATTCTATCAGCAGCTCAGCATTCGGGTGAACGAATTAGAGAATAAGAAACAGTTCAAGTGCATCTACGTGGGGCCCAAGATGAAGGAGGAGAAGGAGCTCATATTGTACCCGAACAAGGGCGGCACGGTGGCCGACCTGCTCGAGGAGGCCAAGAAGCAGATCGAGTTCGGGGAGGGCAGCACAGGGAAGCTCAGGTAAAACGCACAAAAACCTATGTTGCGCCTCTGGTTAGTAAAAAAAAAAAGAAGCAAAATAGTGCGTTATGTGCTTGCAATAGATTACACAGGCCCACAAAAAAAAAGTATCTGGTTCTGGGATGGAGACTAACTCTTTTTTTATGCATTTTGTGCCGCTGAATCCCAGAATATTCCCAGATTTCCGCTCTCAGAGATACAACAATCCAGATTTGTCTTCAGCTTGCTGTTGTTTCAAGTTATTTTCGTAGTCTGAATTCCAGAAACTCAAATGCAAGTATGTTAATGTGATCACTAAAGAATTTCCACTTAGTCTTGATTTTAGACTGATTCAATCCACGTTATTCAAGATTTTACCGTTAAAAACACAATTTTTACATATTCTTGAGGATGATCTTTGAAATTCACTTGTTAAACCAAATTTTTCATAACGCATTCGGGTTTAAGAAATTAGGATACATAGGAATACGGTATTTTTTTATGTGACGCGAATCATATTCCCATTTCTTTCAAGCTTTTATTACAAAAAACGTCGTTTTCAGCAGTTTTTTGAGGTTGTCTACAAAATCCGTTAGTCAAACCTCTTTTTTCATAACAAATTCGAATTCAGCAGGTCGAAATACGTAGAAACAAAGTGTTTTTGATGTGGTGAAGCAAATATTTTTTTTCTTCTCATGCTTTTACCACCGAAACACGTCTTTTTCGACAGTTTTTTGAGGTTATCTTCAAAATTAGCTGAATACATAAGAAAAAAATGAGTCTCCATCCCAGAACCAGAAACTTTTTTTTTGGGGGCATTTTTTTGTTCTCAAGCTTTTATAACCGAAACACGTCGTTTTCGACAGTTTGTTGAGGTTATCTTCAAAATTAGCTGCGGAACCCCTATTTTTTATGATGAATTCGGATTCAGCGGCACAAAATACATAAGAAAAAGTTAGTCTCCATCCCAGAACCAGATACTTTTTTTTTTGTGGGCATTTTTTTGTTCTTCTCAAGCTTTTACAACCGAAACAAGTCGATTTCGACAGTTGTTTGAGGTTATCTTCAAAATTAGCTGCGGAACCCCTATTTCCTATGATGAATTCGGATTCAGCGGCACAAAATACATAAGGAAAAGTTAGTCTCCATCCCAGAACCAGACACTTTTTTTTTTTGTGGGCCTGTTACTGACCGGTTTTCCCCTGGCGGCAGGTTAACGGAGGTGAACTGCAACAAGGTGTCGCTGGGGCCGAAAGAGGACACCCCTCTGGAGGCGTTGGGCGCGACGTCCGCCAAGATCTACAGGATCGAGGAGGTGCCGCGGGAGGAGCTGCACCTCGCCGACGACGAGATGCTGATATCGTGCGCGCACTTCCACAAGGAGGTGTTCTCCACGTTCGGCATACCGTTCCTCATCAAGATCAAGCAGGGGGAGCCGTTCGGCAAGGTGAAAGGTGAGTAGACGGTCGGTTCGGTCCGGCGGCGTGACAATCTCTCTCGTGTCGTTTTGCAGAGCGTATCCAGAAGAAATTGGCTGTGCCCGAGAAGGAGTGGGAGAAGTTCAAGTTCGCGATAGTGGCGATGGGCCGACCCCAGGTCATACAGGAGGACGAGTACGTAGTCAACTTGGCTGATTTTAGGCTTCCCAATCAAGGTAGGTGTTTGTTATTTTTTATCGATGCAGTCGAAGTTGAAGATGTTTTCCACTCGACGAAACGTCGGACTGTACTCGACCGCCACGTTGGCATCATCGGGAGGCGATCGACATTGGCATGCAGCGGAGGCTTGTGCAAAAAAAATTGGGGGTTGCAAATGGATACTAAACTAAACTAAACTATTTATATTTTTTAATATATATTTAGTCAAAAGCGTATTATTACCTCATTGGAAGATATAGTCAACATGACGATCTTTGTTTCATCTGCAGTTATAGACAAATAGTTAGTTTCTTCTTGGCATGCTCTAAACATTGCTTATATTTAGTTCTGTTACGTTCGTGATGTATTCTTGAAAACAGTTGCTTTTTCCAAACGGTCTTCTAAAGCAACGTCCGACTCAGGACTAAAGCTTTTTTGCAAGAATTATCTGCACAATACGAGCAATTTTCACCTTCAATGTACTCCCCCTTGGCGATTTCTACACCGCTATATACGAATTTTCCATTGTCGAAAGCAGTGCTGGAAGTCCGCTTCTGTGAGCTGGTTCAGAACCTCCATCGCTTTTGCTTTAACCGCTTCCACACTTTCGAATATTGTCCCCTTCAGTGTCACCGTGTCTAACAAGCCTGGATCAGTGTCGATATTGTTTAGAATGTCAGCGCAAATGTTCAGTCTTGATTCGTTTTGCTCGGGAGTGAGGAGTTTTGGCACCATTTTTGCTCAAACTCCGCGCGTTTTGAAATATTCATGCAAAAAACCGCGGCGATAGCTCAGTGGGTAAAGTGCCAGGTGAGTAGGTGGCGATTACTCCTAGAGCTATTATTCGCGCGGGTTCGAATCCCCCCTGTGGCAATTGGCACCTGTTACAGGGTTTGGTTGTGTGTCCTACGGCTTCCATGTGTATTCTCCCTCTGCACAGTTGTAATGACTCTTAGTGGGAGAATGTCAATTTTTGTGGTGTAATTTATTTATAAAAAAAAAAAATCTGGCGAACACGTTCTTTGTGGATTCCTGGTATTTCAGCAAGCTCTCGGATGCTTAGACAACAATCTTCGCGGATTAATTTACCAATTTTTCAATGTTTTCGTCCGTTGTTAACGTTGAAGGCCATCCCGGGCGCGGATCGTCTTCAGTCGTTTCACGTTCCTCTTTAAAGCGTTTAAACCTTTCAAAAATTTGTGTGCGGAATAAACATTCATTCCCGTACACTTGTTTTAACATTGCATAAGCTTCTGTAAAAGTTTTCCCCAGTTTAACAACAAATTAGAGATTAACCCGTTGCTCCATCTGAACACTTCACATTTATTCGACCCGTCACTGGTGCGTAGACCAATTCAAACGACTGCTACACTAAAACTGAGCGACCCACTGGCTTGTCCAGCGAGCTCAGTGTGGGGAAAATGTCACAGACACAGTTCGGTTCAAACTTGTCACGACACGCTCTCAGCGCGCTGGTAGCAGCATCTGTTAGGTTATATTAATAACCACACGTCGTATTTAAGTCTCAATCCTTTCGATTTGACCTTTGTCTCACAAAGACCGGCTTCAGAATGGCTTTGCTACCAAACTTTCTAGAGAAATCATTTTTATTTATGATAAACCTACGCACACATTCACAGGCGATTCTCTCTACGCCGCGACGGAACGACAACTGGCCGAAATATTAGCCTAGAAAAGATAACCAAAATAGGTCCAATTTTTCAAAAATTCCTCGAGCCTTAAAAAAATTGATAATTAGGTAAAAAATAGTGTAATTTTAGTACACTAGTTTTGGATCAAATCAGTTTGTTAGGAACATAACCAAAAAAAATTCATAAACGTCTGAAATTCGGTATATTCACTTTTTTAAATACCAAAAGAAATTATTTCAGAAAAACAAAAAATAGCACGTTATAGCGCTTAAAAAGACGAAGAAAATCAATTTTTAAAAATTAAAATCGGTTCACAACTTTTTGCAAAAAATAAAAAAATAAAAACTAAAAAATTGCCCTTTTTTTACTATCTAATTACTCGGCCTACGGCCCGAAACGCAAAACAGCCCGGTTTTCAATGTCGTTTTTGAGATACTTCCTCATATTTGACAAACTTGGTCCATTGGATGATTGTAGAGCATTACCGTATGACTGTTATTGACAATTGCCGTGCCATTTTTTCGAAAACACATTTTTTTACATTTTTTCCAATTGCGCCAAAAGTTTTGAATATTTTTTGATAAAATTTTTACTGTAAGTAGCCGCCGAAAAGAGCTACAATTTGGTCACTACTCGCGGAAGTTCCTACGACTTTCGTAGGCCGAGTAATTAGATTGTAAAAAAAGGGCAATTTTCGAAGGTTTTTTTTTTTTTTGCAAAAAGTTGTGAACCGATTTTAATTTTTAAAAACTGATTTTCTTCGTCTTTTTAAGCGCTATAACGTGCTATTTTTTGTTTTTCTGAAATAATTTCTTTTGATACTTAAAAAGTGAAAATATCGATTTTCACACGTTTATGAATTTTTTTGATCCAGAACTATTACCTATCAATTTTTTTTTAACGCTTGAGTAATTTTTTGAATTTCATCAGCGAGCCATTCACACAAGGATATAATTCGCCAACGCGCAGGCCTGTATACGTCAATGTAGCTTGCTTTCCAACGTGCAAGCCTTCAGTACGACGACGTCATGTCTGTCGATTCCGAATCGGGCGAAATAGTACAGTCGGCGGTGTCGTTAGTTACGATGTGGGTGGGAAACGTCGGAACAGAATTGAAAGCATAAACAGGGCGTATCTCTGCGATTTCAGCCGGCAGCCCAAGGCCCTGGCTAGGACTAGATCACGTCAACAAAGCCCCGAAGCGGTCCCGATTCAACTACCTAGAGAAGGCCATCAAAATCTACAACTGAGACTGATGACAAACTGACCCATTTAACAAAAAAAAAAAAAAAGAACATCGTCGTACACTGCTTGGCTTTCAGCAGTATTGCCAACGTACATCAATTCCTAGTAATTGGAGGTACATCTTTGTTACTGTACTAATCGTAAGGTGTGATCAGCGCTGCTTGTCATTGGGTTTTCCCGGTTTTTTGTTTTTTTTTTTCTTTTTTTCGTTCGTTACGGCAACTCTCCTACGCTGTGTAACAAAAAAAGGAAAACACTACTTGTACATATTATGTATTTGACATAAAAAAAAATCTGTCTGTTTAGGGTATATTCACAAAACGTTCTCTTGTTACGCGTACGGGGTTATTCAGAATGTTGTCAAATTTCTGGCCGCACCGAGTCGTGTGTATATTGTAGTAGGATAATGTTTTATTGTATTTTAAAAATCAAGAGGCAGTTATACTTAGATGCGATTTTATTTGTGAGGATCGGTCAGGGCCGCACACGTATATATGTCTGATTCGGCCCTCCCCCCTCTGTCCCCCCCCCATCCCATTACCTCGCATGGCCGTAATTTGTTGAATTCTGAATAACCGAGTATATTCCATTTTTGTAGTTTATGTTATACGAATTTTTACAATTTCGGTTGCTCCTTGCAAAAGAATATACAGGGTGTCCACGTTTATGTATGTACAAGTCCTTATTTTTCGAAATAATTGAACTTTTTTTTTTATAGTGCATCCAAAACTGCTTTTTCTGACCCTATTGTCACTTTTAAGCTTCATTCTCAGGGCCTGCTACGATTTTTTTTATACCCCCGAAATTGAGTATAACTGCTTTGCGATTTTTTTTATTTAAAATATGAATCCACTTCGATAATCAGAACCCCTCAAAAAACCCCATATGAAATTTGAACAAAAGATGAGCAAAATATCGAGTTTGAGAGTCGCTAGACAAGTCAAGTATGCCATGGAATTATGCCAAAATAGTCGAATGTCGTCTAGAATCACTTAAACTTAATTCTTGACCTAACTAACCAAACCTTGTAGTTTTGTTAGTTACAAAAACGCTGTTTTTTGTCTAGTACAGTTTTATTTTTTGAAGGCACATATCGTAGTCCAAAAATATTTTTTTTGTCTACGACAGTTATGTTAAGGTGGTTCTAAATAACGTTCAACTGTTTTGACACAATTCCATGGCAGACTTGACTCGTCTATCGGCTCTCAAACTCGATATTTTGCTCAACTTTGTGATCGTATTGAAAGATATCTTCTAGATTTTTTGTTCAAATTTCGATGGGCGTTTTGAGGGAGTCCTGATTGACGCTATAGATTCAGGTTTTGAATAAAAAAATCGCTAAATAATTATATTGAACTTTGGTGGTATAAAAAAATTATAGCACGCCATGGAGATTATTCTTAAAAGCACCACTAGAGTCAGAAGTAGTTTTCCATGCCCTTTGAGTAAAAAAAGTTTAAACCATTATATTGAAAAATGAAGATTTTGTGTAATTTGTACATAAATAAAAGTAGACACTCTGTATGTACGATTATTAGACCCTCCCCCCACCCCCAAGTTTTATCCTAAATAATTTTTATTTTATTTATGTTACAAACGGTAAGCTCTTTTGTTCGTTTCTTTTTTTTTTATACTTACATTGTGGTTACTAACACCGTAAATATAAATTATTAATAAAAAAAAACAGTCCTATATGTATTCGTTCTGTGACATTTTACATTTTTTAATTTCTTTTTTTTCCTCTTCGTCCCGGATATTACAGATACTTTTTTTTGCTTGTACAAAATTTTGTATTAAATATTAAATTAAATATTGTATTTATTGCCCAACTCTGTATATTTCGTAATTTCATTAAAAGATACTGCTTAGATTTTAAAGTATTGCAATAAATAATATAAAAATTATTATTGCGTTTTCTTGTTGAACTGTGAGATTGTGTAACCAGAGGATTATACGTGTATCTGATTAAATAAAACATTATGATAAATGACATTAAGTTTTATTTGTCTGTGTGCATCGAAAGACAGAGGAGGTAAGTGATTTTTTTCTTTCATTTTATATTTTTATAAAATAAAATATACCGTTTTGTAGTTGATTCAAATATAAATATTTTCACATGAAAAATGGGACAACTCGACTATTATAATTTTTAATTTTACATGATAATTTGTGATTATTCTGAACAATTAAAATTATTAACCACTTTTTGACGCGGTAGTCTTGAAACAAATTTAAAACGATACTCTTCCTTTTACTTGTGAAATTAGAAATTTGAGATCGTAACATAACCTCTTAAGCGCGTATTCTAACCTCAAAGATGTGAGTTTCTAACCTCAAATGATTTGGTAACAATTCAATTATATTCGCACACTAGATCAGGCGGTATCTGTTTTCAAAAGATGTGGAAAATTTGTTATCAAACAAAATGTAAAAAAAACTAATATATCCGTGTTTTTCTCGTGAAATATTCATTGTTGAGAAAAATTGAAGAGAGGAAACGGTTTTGTTACAAAATTTTATACAGGGTGTGTTAGGTTAGAAATTAAAAAAATCGTTTTGGCAAAAATTGCAATAATTGGAATAAAAATGGAAGAGAAAAGGGTTATTCAATTTTTTTTCGACCACTTGTATATAATACGAGCCCAGAATCATGTCGTTTGGCCCAATGTTATTTTTTGGTAAGGCTTCTGAAACAAAGACTTTATACTATGGACACAGAGTAAACCTACTCTGTGCTATGGATACAACTATTATCCTTTATTGGCAATTTGTAGGATAAATAATATAATAAATAATATGATAAATAATGTAATAAAGGATAATTGTCGTATCCATAGTATGAAGTCTTTGTTTCAGAAATCTCACCAAAAATAACATTGGGCCAAGCGATATGATTCTGGGATTGTATATACCATGAATATGTTAAAACACACCAAATTTCATGCTAATATAAATGTAAACATGCAAATTTTTTTT